TTTTTATTTCCTCCATAACACAATTTTCGTTCTGTACAACTAGCTCATTACCTTCTCTTGTCGTCACCTCGCTGCCATCAAAACATTCTAACACAAAACTTGCTGATAATGCAAAATCCCGACGCACAGCATCGTACATGTACCTAGCCTGTTCCAGGCTCTCAGATAATGGGGAAGACGCGAAAGATGAAAAACACAACACGCAATACAAAAACAGCCACATTAACCGTCACCCTGCTAAACAAAATTGAAATAATAAAAAGAATTGTTACAGTTTATATCACAGTAAAAAGAAGCCTCAGTCCTTTTTGGTTTCAATTGTTGAGAATCGTCTCTTCCTTCATCGGAACAGATTTTTATCACAGGCAACTCGTTGTGTTCCGCCATGCAAAAATCAAAATCACCATTGTCACACTGATAACCATGCAGCTACACAAATCTTCTGACTCTCAAACTTGTTAAACATTCCTCTGTTCAAACTCTTATCCATTTTACACGTACACTCCTGATATTCCTATTTTTTTATTGCGTCTATGGGGTTCATGAATCTTTGATGTCAAAGAACAGTGTGTGGATTTGTAAGTTTAACTCGAAACGCCGCGGCCAAATGTTATCCAAACTGCTTCTTACTGCTGCTTCAAAAAACTTGGGATCGAACGATATCCAAATCGTCCCTCATTGGATTATCCACTTGACCTAACAAAATCGATCAATCACAAAATAGGGAAAAGAAAATGGACATAAAATAAAGAAAACAGCAAATTCAGATGACCTCTTAGGAAACATGCAATTAAAACTGTCTTTCTATGATTGGTGCATTTCGATCCTCTCGTCAAAAAAAATTTCAGACGCCAATCAGTGGACCTCTTAGGAAACGAAAGTTTACTTCAACGGGTTCAAAAGGTCATTGTTTGTGATTTGTGATTGGTGGTTTTCAATCCGTTTTGTGAGTTTCTGTGTTTCTTTGGCTCTTTTCAATCGCAATAATTGTCCGTTGACTGGTTGGCCGGTTGATTGGTTCTCCTCTAATTTGCGAAATCAACGCAGCCCAGTCTCAAACCTTTTTTTCTCGTGGCGACCAAACTCTCGTAGAGCGTGCCGGATTCTCCTTCGTCTAGGACATCAAAAAGTTCGTTTTTCAGGACTTTGGTAATGTTTCACATTTTCTAGTAGGAGCAAGAAACACATTTTTAGAGCTTATCCACCCACTCTAAAAATTGCTTAACTATGTTTTAAAACAACAGCCGCACATTTCTAAAGTTATCTGAAGTGTTCAGCTCTTTCGGCTTTCTCCCCCTTCGATCAGCAGGCACAGGCTTTGTCAGCATACTGCCACTTCCACTAATTTTGATGTTCCATTAAAAAAAACGGAAACAACACTATAAAGACTGCTTTGGATTTGCTGGATACAGCAATCACCACAAGATTCGAAGCCAAGTGCAATACGCGCTACCAACAGGTTTTCACTGTCACGCCGTTCAAAATAGATCAAAATAAAAATCAAAACCGTTCAGTAGATAAAGTCCAGAATATAGGAAATGAAAGGAGGTAAATATGCAAAGAACCTCGCCAAGATTCAGGTCAAAGGAACATTTCGTATACGAGATATCCGAAGAAATGTTTTACCCAAATTTATAGAGATTAATTGTGTGGAGACGCCATGCTGCTGCCCATCCAGATGGGCACCAGATTTTTGACAGCTCGACGACATTTTTTAACCCTCTGGTCAGAACGAACCCGGTATGGAAATCGAACAGTGTGTTTTTTTGTTTTTCTCGCCTCAGCCGCCCTGCGGGCGAGTGAGGCTCGCGCGCTTCGCGCGTTTGAGACTCTTAACATACACTAATCCGATTTTGAGAAAAGAACCGACTGTTTTGCAGCCCAGCACGAAGTCTGCCGTGTCATGCGAGTCCGCCCAGTTTCGATGGGAAAATAGCACCCATCGACCCCGGCCTCCAGGAACCCGGAGCGAGCAATTCTCATGTGCTCGTGTCAGGGAGTTTTCACTGACCAGTTTATTTTTAGAACAATTTTGGCGCGAATTGACAATATCTTTCAGGTCCCACAAACCAAACATCAAAACAAAAAACCCCTAAAAATGGCATTTTTGACCCTTTAATGACGTTTGATTTTTCTTTTCACTTTATATTTATAAAGTGCTCATTAACTGAGCGGAGGTTCCATTCTCTCGGTAAAAGTCCTGTAAAATGAATCTAAAAAGAAACCAGTCCGTGACTCGCAGTGACATGTGAAAGTTGCACACTCCGGGTTATGAGCTCCTGACGCCTCTCTCTTTTAAACGCCTTCTATCTATTTAATACCCCCGCTTGAAGCCCCAGGCGTTTATTAAGTCATTTGGGGTACTCAGGGTCCTAAAATAACAGAGAAATGAAGGAATTGTCTTTGTGCCCTGCAAACAGCTATATATACCTTGTGGCTCAGATGAATGACTACCTAAAATGACGGTCCGTAAGTTTAGCGTCCTCAATTAGTACTTTTTATAATACATTAGCACGTAAAGTGCGAAAAAGGATGAAAAATCTATCATCCTAAGATGTTTGGAGGGAATGTCGCCGACTATGCTTAAGCTAATTTTTAATTTATGACTTGTACAGTGGTCTGCTTGGGGATCAATCTTAGCAGCTGGGTACAGAACCTTATATAAAAACAATAACAGAATATAACATACAAGACCTTACATATTCCACTGCACTAAAATTACCCTATTTTAGTTGCTGTGTCACTAATTAACGCAATTTAATTAAAATAGCTCATTACTAAAAGTCCTTCTTACTAACGCCTTCTTTAACACTTTAAAATTATGTAAAAAGTTTTTGTTGGTTTTTGTCTATGAGTTACAGAAGGCTTTCCTAAGATAATTACAGAAGGCTTGTCTAAGAGTTCTTACTGAACGCGTAAGAGAGCTTACACAAGCCTTTTGTAAGATGCTTACAGAACGCGTAAGAAGGCTTACAGAAGGCTTGTGTAAGACTCTTTATACAAGGCTTGTGTAAGTATCTAACACAAGGCTTGTATAAAGAGTCCTTACAGAAGACTTGTGTAAGAGTCCCTACACAAGGCTTGTGTAAGAGTCCCTACACAAGCCTTCTGTAAGCAACCTTACACAAGCCTTGTGTAAGGACTCTTACACAAGCCTTGTGTAAGCAACCTTACACAAGCCTTGTGTAAGGACCTTGTGTAAGAGTCCTTACACAAGGCTTGTGTAAGAGTCCTTACACAAGGCTTGTGTAAGGTTGCTTACAGAAGGCTTGTGTAAGATACTTACAGAACGCGTAAGAGTGCTTACAGAAGGCTTGTGTAAGAGACTTACAGAACGCGTAAGAGTGCTTACAGAAGGCTTGTGTAAGACACTTACAGAACGCTTAAGAGTGCTTACAGAAGGCTTGTGTAAGATACTTACAGAACGCGTAAGAGTCCTTACAGAAGGCTTGTGTAAGATACTTACAGAAGGCTTGTGTAAGAGTCCTTACACAAGGCTTGTGTAAGATACTTACAGAAGGCTTGTTTAAGAGTCCTTACAGAAGGCTTGTGTAAGATACTTAAAGAACATAAGAAGGCTTACTAAGATGCTTACAGAGCGCTCGTGTAAGAGTCTTACAGAACGCCTAAGAAAGCTTACAGAAGGCTTGTGTAAGCACCCTAACACAAGTCTTCTGTAAGGACTCTTTATACAAGCCTTGTGTTAGATACTTACACAAGCCTTGTACATAGTCTTACACAAGCCTTCTGTAATTGTCTGTAACTCATACACAAAAGACAACAAAAAAATTTTACATAACTTTTAAGTGTTAAAGAAGGCGTTCGTAAGAAGGACTTTTAGTAATGAGCTATTTTAATTCAATTGCGTTAATTAGTGACACCGCAACTAAAATAGGGTAATTTTAGTGCAGTGGAATATATAAGGTGTTGTATATTATATTCTGTTACTGTTTTTATATAAGGTTCTGTGCCCAGCTGCTAAGATTGATCTCTGCTTGGTATGCTCGAGCTCTTAACAGTATTAAGTTAATTTATTTTCAAATGTAGCCCCAATTAGTACAAAAAGGCGCATAGAACTCTTAGATACGTACCTATTAAAGATTATGTATGGGTGTATACATGTTTAGCAGTAGTTTTACATAGCATCAGTGTAATTTTAACTCAGTCTGAAACAATACATCGTTATTTAACAATATATAGAAAGTATGTCGAGAGCGTAGTTGTCACCATCCACAGTCGACTTCCATTAATTCGAACCTTCAAGGGCAATAGAAAAAAGTTCGAGTTATCGGGAGTTCGAATTGTCGAGGGTAAAATTGTATAGAAAATGATCCGAAGGGAAGTGAAAATTGCTTCGAGTTAGCGGAAGGTTCGAGTTATCGAGGGTTCGAGTTACCGGAAGTCGACTGTCGAATGTACTACTATCGTGCTCATTAATTCCGTGCTAGAATAATACCCAAGTCAATAAAATAACCCGATAATTGGAGAATGCAATAACGTTACCTCTAAACATAATTTTTCCTCAGTTCCGTTGGTGGCTAATAGCTATCGCCTAATGGTTGGAAAAAGGAAAAATGCTGAAATCGACTGAAAATCAGGCGCCAGTTTCAAAATTTTCAATTTCTTCATTTTTTTTTTCTATTTTAAGGGTCAAACCAGTATGATTTTTTTGCGTATAATTCAACGTTATGCCTTTTTCAGTCATTCTCGTAAATCGATATTGGCTAAATTTTCCAGAGAATTGAACAGTTTACAGAAGTGCTTGAGCAAATGACCTCATAAATTCCATTGTTCTTGTCTTTGGTCTGTGACATCCGTCATGCGTATGTAGTTTGTTTAGTGGCCAATAGGATCACCGGAACTTGCGTATATACTGTCACAAGTGGACTGAGATCAATGATATGAAGTACGTAAGTGCGTCGATGTATATTTGGCTTCAATGATCATCATTTTGTCGCATTTTCGCAGTTGTTTTCTGTAGCTGATGGTTTTGTAGTTAGAGCAAAGGTCAGACGTACCACGGATAACATCATAGATCTTGAGGTGGGTACTGTTCAACCTGTATAATTTATATATCACGTTTTCATTATCAAAACTATGAATGATTTCAAACAACAATTTCTTTGTCTTAGTTTCGTTAATAGAATTCTTAGTCAGGTACAAGACGCGGTGACACTCAGCTTTTTGTGATCCATTACCTTTAACCTTTCGGCTCACCAAAGTTCAGAACATGTTTGGCAGAAATTCTTCGACGTCACAAGTCTGCAGCCCGAGATTTCATAAGAGCAATAACACAAACTAAAGGTCGATAAAGGAATTATGAAATTACTTTTTACACTAATAGTTGAGATAATCGTTCTCAAATATTTTTGCCTCAGAACTGAGACGCTTTGAATTAGATAATTTTCGTTACAATGCTAAATGAAAGCCAGAAAAGTTACAACAGAAATATAACTTGTAAGTACTTCTAAATATAGTATTTTATAAACACACAAGTTGTTTCATGGTTCGGTGGCTGTTAATAGTAATTGACTCTGAAATGACAGCATGCAAAGGTCATAACAGAATTTCTTGAAATATCAGTTGTTTACAGAAATGACAGTTTCGTGTTGGCATTTTCTCACCTTTTGTTAACATCATAAATTCCATTATGTAGTGGAACCCCGCTCCGAGAACAACCGTATATAAGGGAAAGATAGATTCCTTTGTCCTCACGAAAAGTTCACATATTTTCTCTAAAATTAACCCGGCTAATACGGAAAGCAGTTAATATACAGTCAACACCCCGAACTACACCGACGTTATTTTGAAAGGGTGGGAAATCTAAATCTTGAAAACCTGTCAAAAAGTGCCTACAAACAGTGACCAATAATAAATGTTTGGTCCTTTGACTCTTAATTGCAACTCAGTTGTCAATAAATTTGCTGTTTGCATGAATTCAGTTTTCATTTTTTGATGAACAGATGTATCTTCCGATATAAATCGATGACATCGGTCAAAATCAAAATAAATCGATAAACGAAACGAGTGTGTCATCGATTTCTACCGATTGATCGTTACAATAAATATCAATCAAATCAGATCGACCGATTTTTATCGATCGATTTCTCCGGGGTCAATCCCGCTATACGGACACTGTGCTAATTGTAAACATTGCACCCATTGTGAAAATGGCAGATTTCTACTAATACGAAGTCTCGTTACTACAAAAAGTCAGTTGGCTTTTGAACTTCAGAGTTCACATGCTTTTGAAAAGTGCAGTAATGCGTGACGAAGCTCTAAGTACGTCTGGGTGGGAGGCTATCCATTTACCTTTTTAGAAAAAGACTGGTTAATATAGAAAAAGGAAAAATCTGCCAAAACACCTGAAACCGAGTGAATTGAAAACAGCCGCAGCAAAAGAAAAAAAAATTCATCAAGTTCGATCACAGTAGTAGGCTTGGAAAAGAATTTTTCCCTGTACTTTCTTCCTGCTCTAGCCGCTTCCTGCATGCTTTAAGGTGACGGTTACACTTCACGATTAGCCTGTTCCAGGGGGGAGACTAGAGGGGGAAAGGGGGTGGGAACCTCGCTCTCAGCCCCCCTCGTTCTCTACTATCTGAAAGCCTGGAACAGGCTACTGGACGATATGCAAGGACGATTTTTAGCGGAACGCAGCGTTGCAATAATAATGATTTAGAAAGGTTTTGTAGTATGTTTAATAATTGCCCCGTACGGATTTCGCCCAGATGGCGAAATCCCGAGGAGGCACTCTAGACTAGTAGCTCGCACGTATATTAAGAAAAGTGCTTACAGTTGAAATATACAGTCAGTATGCCAGAAAAAAAAATCTTTATTTGCTTGAACAGGATCCGCATCGAATCGTTGGGTATACGTAATGATGACGTTTCTATTGTTCGCGCCCGCAAGTAAGAGGTGGTTAGGATGACGTTAAACAGAAAAACCCGAAGGGATCGCCTAGGTACATATTGCGACATTAATTGTACAGTCATACTTCGATACTCTTTTGCGTTACGTATTATCACGTTCACATCCTGTGTAGCAGCTGTTTTGAAAGTTATGGACCAAAATACACCCGTTAAGCGCAGATGAAGTAGTTATAAGGTGCGTGAAGCTGTGTATAAACAAACACTTGGAGAGTTTGCCAGATACGAGTTCACTGACAAATCTTTGATTGGAAACAATTTGCCAGACACTCTTTTATGAGGGTATATCTATGCCAAAATTCAATAACCTAAAAGCGAAAAGGGTTCAGTCAAATCTGAAATATACCGAGTCAAAGTTGGTAAAAAAAGACCACGGTAAAAGGAAGAAATTCTAAAAAAGCCACTATCATCTGGGTATCACACAGAAAAAGGCAACACGCAAAGAGGCATCACGCAAAGAGGCATCACGCAAAGAGCCAACACGCAAAAAGGCAAAACGCAAAGAGGCGACAAGCAAAGAGGCATCACGCAAAGAGCCAACATGCAAAAAGGCATCACGCAAAGAGCCAGTACGCAAAGAGGCATAAACGCTAAAAGGCAACCCGCAAAATTCAGGGCGGAAAAACGTAATGAGCATGCGTGAACTTTTTTTCCCAGATCCCCTGGCCGGGTTTGAAAAAATGGCGGGATTTCAAATATTTTATGGCCTAAAAATAAAGTGTTTTCACTCATAACCTGAAAAGAACAGGCAATTTGTCTTCAAAAGTTGCAAGCTGTGGTTATAACCTTGTCGTTACTTAATTTTCTCGAAGAATACCTCATATTAAAACGGACTTTAACGACATTAATTTCCTTGCGTTGTACTGGAAATGTGCATGCGTAGGTCCGATTTTTTTCAAGATGGATTCACAAAATGTGTTCATATAAGGAAGTTCCTGGATATATAAGGTCCGGAGCTCCACTGTGGACACAAAAACAACATATCTTTCGACAGTGATTTGCCCAAAAAAATTAACGCTTGCCCACAATGTGTTTGAAGTCACTGAACTTTGTCGCACTCGAGCTGATATTTTAAAACCCTCGCTCGATCGGACACTCGTAGTTTCGCAGATCACTAAAATATAAACAAAATGCTCAATGTAGAAGTTATTGCGTTGATATGTGGGCAGAAAAAAGGTCAATCTTTATCTAGTAAAACCTTCCCAAAAATCGGTTTAAAAGCAACTATAGTTTTTTAAACTTGCTCGTTTCGCGCAGATATATAAATTTTGCTTTGTGGTGTCAAGTTGAAAACGCATAACATCTGTCAAAAACCTACGCGTAAGTAGGATTTCCTTCGAATAAAGTTAAAGTTACATTACTTCAAAAACTTCTTACTGACAAAGAAGAAATGAATTTTCTAAGCGAAAACAACCTACCTAAAGATCTCAAAAGCCAAAGATCCCTTGCAACTTGGCAGCCAAGCCATGATTCAGCATTTAGCTATTTTCAATAAGCTTAACAAGTCCATGCGAGGGTCTTCGTTTAAGCAAATTAAACTCAGCCGATCATTAGAAAATACAGAAAATTGCACATAAGGGTTTGTTTTGCTCGCCTCAGTCAAATCAAGCTGCAGCAATTGTTTACGGGAAAAGAGTCAATTGTTTTGAACTCACTGCCGGCAGTTGTCGTTCTCTACTTCACAGCCAGTGAAAAGGACAATTTGCGTACAGAAAGTTATTCTTATAAAGAACAGAACCTTTCACAGTGCACTGGAAAACAAAACAATGTGATGAAAAATGAAAAAAAACTCTGACCATTATTACTTGGGCAACAGAAAAATGACCTTGGTAAGCTTGCTGGCCTTCTATTTCCGAGAAAGTTTAATAAGCACACAAGTTTGTTCACTCTGATGCGTTATAACAGCAATGTGGTTCTTTGACTGAACACAAAGATAAAGCTGGTTCTGCAAAGGTAATAAATCTGGGCATGTAAAAAAAGTAACCATAACTACTAATAACAGAATACAAGCGGGTTTTAATTCAACCCGGCGAAATCAACTCATAAATTAATCGAATGCACAATCAGAAAAACACTCGCCTCTTAAGAAATGTTCAAAACCTTTTATTCCACCTCAGACTGACGGAATGATCCATTTTTCCTTGAACATTGGTTGTTCTGAATCCAAAGTAATTTTCAAGCGACGAAAAAAAAGGAAACATGTCAAATAAAATTAAATGCTTTACAGGGAGCAAACGTTCGCACCTCGTGCATTTCACTCAGGACTCCAGCAACAAACAAACGCAGTCAACACACAGAAAAGCCCGCCTTGAGCCTGCGATAAGGGATGCGCAGAAGCTTGCGCAGAACGTTTTTCCGCCCTTAACCCGCAAAAAGGCATAACAAAAAAGGCAATTTGCAAAAAGGGCATCACGTGATAAGTCTACTTAGGATTATTTAGTACATACTGCAAGAAAACGGAAATAGTATTCGAACGAGACATTCCATCTTGTTCACATATGGTGGAATCATCCTCAGATTGACGGCAATATTCCACTGCTATTAACGCTGCACGAAGAACTGCTAAAACCTGTCCGCCGTCTTGGTAAAGATGTGCCTATCTCAAAAATAAATCAATTTCCAGCCGGAAAGAAATGCAATCGCTGTCAATTTCGCTTTGGACTTGTTGTAATATATCAATAAGGGCACGCCTAAGTTACTGAATAAGCACCTCACGAGGTGAGCAAGACGGAATGTCTCGTTCGAATACCATTTCGGTTTGCTTGCAATATGTACTAAATAATACTGTTTAAGATCCAGGCCTGGATCCTAAGTAAACTTATCACGTGATACCCTTTTGCAAATTGCCTTTTTTGCGATTCCTTTTTGCGTGTTGCCTTTTTGCGTTATGCCTCTTTGCGTGATGCCTCTTTGCGTGTTGCCTTTTTCTGTGTGACACTCAGATGATAGTGGCTTTTTTAGAATTTCTTAACTGGATGTAAAATGAACTGGATGTACCTTTTCTTATGGTTTATAATGAACTATTATCGAAACTGAGAAGTTTTGATCAAAGCTGTGTAAATCGAACTTAATCAGTGCATGGAACCTTGCGTTTCCTGTGTTTATCTCACCTATTGTATGGAATATGTGAAAATGTTCCTTATGAATCGGTATATTTCAAAGAGCTACACAACGACCAAGAATACTATAGAGAGGAGAAATCGTTACTTCACGTTGCCATGGTAGCAAAATTTTTGGATGACGACAATATTGACCGACAATATACAGAGCGAGGGTAGCTGTAGTGTCAACTATTACTAGTAACAATAACTGTAAAAGGAGGAAGACGGGACTAGGAATGGCTTGGATTAATTGATTATAAGAAAAAAGCATTTAAGAGAGTGTCTCTGTAAGAGCGGTCCCGTCGATTTTGCTTGAGACACAGATTTAGCTCATTTCTTGTGTGTTGTAAGACATTCATGTACCTATACTAAAACCACAATCCGTTTGATCGGATCTCTTTATCTTTCAGAGTTTTACGGAAATTAAATTTCACTCAAGCGAAAGCCTGTCGTGACACTTTTCAAGACGTTAATTTGAGGCAACTTTGGCGGGCAATTTACAACAAACTACGGAACTCAGCAAAAAACAAATACCACAGCCATGTATGTTAACTCTATCTTATCCATCGAGGCGACTTTCGTGAACATCACGTTTCAATCAAGCAAACAGGAAGACTTGAACGACACCTTATCGGTTCGCTTAAGTCACACACGCGAAAACCGATCAAATTCAAGGTACATTTTGGAAAAAGTGAGGCGTTCTTAACTGATCCAACTAATATGGCTAGGAAGTAGGTGCCATAGAAAAGATAACTACGGAAAAAAACTTTGCGGCCCGACCTTTACTAAAACTTTATAACTCCGTGAACTTACCTAATTTTCGGCAATCTCCAAGTTTTGCCGCCATTGTGAGGGACTTGTCAACATGAAGCGTAGCAGATATAAATGGAGCAGGTAGATCTAAAACCGTCAGAAATACATACAAAAGCATTCAAATGAACTTCACTTTCAATTCAAGGGGCAAAATTTGAAATTGTTCGTTAAACCTACCATTCCTACATCCCCATTCGACCATTTCTTCCAACAATTCACTGGCACTACAACTAGTGTTCGAATTTCGGTGTGGGTGGCGGACTTATCGCCATAAGATATTCGAATACATGCTAAAAAAGCTTTAGGAGTCTCAGTGTAAACAGCGAAGGTATGCTTCGTGGTACAGACAACTTTTATTTTATTCTCAAAACTTTTTCCTTTAAATTGGAACTGGTATTAATTAATAGAGTTATTTAAATATTTTTAACCGAGGTACCCATATGACCTTTTGGCTTGTCCTCAGTGGTATAAAATAAGGTGTCTTTTCTTCCAGAACCTTTTATTTAGGCGTTATTGCACGGAATGAACACTACACTTAGAAGGTTTGTTCTAAATCATTTTTGCTGTTCCCAAGAATGTATGCAAAATCATTGCTTTATACAAAGCTGCCTCTAAAATATCATTTATGACTTGTGTGACTACGTCAAGGAGGAAATATTGAACTATTTTACTGTTTCCATGCTTAAGGAAATCTGTACTTTCTTCGAGCTCCCATTTAAATGGGAGTCGTGCAGAGGCATGTATGGGGCGAAGGCAACCCAAAAAATTAGGAGCAGGGGGAGGAGCTTATTCAGCCAGCCTTTTGCATGTATTTGTATATACAATGTAATAAGCGTGGTACACCAAAAAATCGGTTTACTTATAGAACTCTTTGTCGTTGTCGTGTGAAAAAAAAAAGTACAGGAAAATTGCAAATGAAAAGAATAGGGTTTAGTGATAAAAGGTCACATCGAATCAAGGAATGAGCTGAAACTAACATAGTTCACTTGACAATTGTATGTCAGGCTTATAAGTGGAAAACGCTAAAAACTGTACATTGCTAGTTTTATTTACACCTTTCGCCGGTAAATGACACTGGTTACTGTTACGGAAAATCATATTTTAGAGACAGCTTTGTATAAAGCAATGATTTTGCATACAGTGGAACCCCGCCATACGACCACCCCGTTAATACGACCACCCCGTTATTACGACTACTTTTTTGTGGCCCGAACACAAGCCCACTCATTTTCTTATCTGAAAACCCCGTTAATCCGACCACCCCGTTATTACCACCAACGACCACCTTTGGGAGTCCTGAGTCGTTATTTTCTTTATAAAATTACCCCGTTAACACGACCAGTCAAAATGCTTGGTGGGGCTGCTGAATGAAAACAGACACAATCTGACAACAATAACGCATTACTAATATTTTATTGGATGTTTTTTTGTGTTAGTAGTTAGCATGACATCCGCTAAATTGCAGTGTTCAGTAAAAAGAATGCATGAATAAATAATACAAAAGATCTGAAAGACTTCACTTTGCAGAATCTCGAGGCTCTCAAAGTTATTTTGCCTTCTTGTTTCTGCTGCCTTCCACTGTGGCTTTTCTCTTCGAGTCCATTTCCTGTTCTTCTCTCACAGATCGGTTATTTGGAATGTCTAATAATTTGTTAAGCATATCAACCTTTCTTGGCTGTCCAGTAAACTTGTAAATGCATGGAATTTCCATCCCACATACTCTCCAACATTTCGCAAGCCTTTTCCTTTCAAAACAAGAAGATTAAACTGAAAGAAGTCAGTGTTTTTTCCATGGCCCGAAGGTGGTCGTAGTAACGGGGTTCCACTGTACATTCTTGGGAACAGCAAAAATGATTTAGAACAAACCATCTAAGTATAGTGTTTCTTCCGTGCAAATAACGCATAAATAAAAGGTTCTGGAAGAAAAGACACCTTATTTTATACCACTGAGGACAAGCAAAAAGGTCATATGGGTACCTCGGTTAAAAATATTTAAATAACTCTATTAATTAATACCAGTTCCAATTTAAAAGAAAAAGTTATGAGAATAAAATAAAAGTTGTCTGTACCACGAAGCATACCTTCACTGTTTACACTGAGACTCCTAAAGCTTTTTTAGCATGTATTCGAATATCTTATGGCGATAAGTCCGCCACCCACACCACCCCGCGCCGTACTGTTTTCACTCAGCGGTTGGTCAGCGGTCACGTTTATGAGGTAAACATGGCGATCACTTCCTGATCACCGTTCTTGTCGATCAGAAAATCAAAATACCAGCGTGATATGGCCTCGAAGATGACGCAGTTATGTTGTTTGATTCGTACTTCACATGCGAGTCGAAGCTTGGCTGGCACAGGTTATTTCTTACGGTGGAATCGTCGAGGGAAATTCGAACACTAGTTGTAGTGCCAGTGAATTGTTGGAAGAAATGGTCGAATGGGGATGTAGGAATGGTAGGTTTAACGAACAATTTCAAATTTTGCCCCTTGAATTGAAAGTGAAGTTCATTTGAATGCTTTTGTATGTATTTCTGACGGTTTTAGATCTACCTGCTCCATTTATATCTGCTACGCTTCATGTTGACAAGTCCTTCAAAATGGCGGCAAAACTTGGAGATTGCCGAAAATTAGGTAAGTTCACGGAGTTATAAAGTTTTAGTAAAGGTCGGGCCGCAAAGTTTTTTTCTGTAGTTACCTTTTCTATGGCACCTACTTCCTAGCTATATTAGTTGGATCAGTTACGAACGCCTCACTTTTTCCAAAATGTACCTTGAATTTGATCGGTTTTCGCGTGTGTGACTTAAGCGAACCAATAAGGTGTCGTTCAAGTCTTCCTGTTTGCTTGATTGAAACGTGATGTTCACGAAAGTCGCCTCGATGGATAAGATAAAGTTGATATACATGTCTGTGGTATATTACTTTCGCTGAGTCCCGTACTTTTTTGTAAATTGTCCCCCAAAGTTGTCTCAAATTTAAGTCTCGAAAAGTGTCACGACAGGCCTTCGCACGAGTGAAATTTAATTTCCGTAAAACTCTGAAAAATAAAGAGATCCGATCAAACGGATTGTGGTTTTAGTATAGGTACATGAAAGTCTTACAACACACAAGAAATGAGCTAAATCTGCGTCTCAAGCAAAATTGACCGGACCGCTCTTACAGAGACACTCTCTTAATTGGTATCCCACCCATAGATACTTGAATGTATGAGGATGATTGGCATAGTTCAGAATATGGTGGTTTTCATCCAAAACACCAGTGGAAGAGAGTATTAACTACTACTTTTGTGGAAAAGTCGAGCTCTCTGCGGCGATAATAGCCTCCCACGCAAACGTTCTTAGGGGTTCGTCACGCGTTCCTACCCCACGAACGTGGTTCGTGGGGGAGGAATGATTGCGTGACGAAGCCCTAAGAACGTCTGCGTGGGAGGCTACGGCGATAAAATAGTCGCCTTTCTCAAGTTAACACCAGTTTTCAGGTATGTAGTCTTTTTTGGTACTCTACAAAAAATGTTTTTAAAAACTAGCGTAAATTTGCCTGCGATTTGTTAAGATTCCTGTCGGGTGCCCAACTTTAAAGTTCGCCGGAATGCTCGGACGTTGAAAATCTAGCTATGGAACAAACTACGCGCTGACTCCCTTTGTTTACCCTGGAAGCTCCTCGTCACACACGAGAAAAAAACCTCTGGTACCTAGGGTACCCTTTGTTAAGAGCTGTCGGAGAGTTGCGCAATCCTTACTTTGAAACTGTTTGTCGCTGCGTTTGTGTTGCAAAGCATTGCAAATTTTTGTTATTTATTGAATTAAAAATCCAGTTAACATGTCCTGGTATTCCGTAGTTTTGAAACTGCATTTCTCAAACTCATTAATAATTCATAAAGAAAATTCAAAGGAAATTAATGTTTAATGAGTGTTTGGATATCAGATGAAAAACTGCTCATTTTTGCATCCTTAATTTCTCCTTCAAAAGTGATTTTGTTTGAGAAGAAATATCAAACATTCGACACAGTGTTTCATCACCAGATGAAACACCTCGAAGTTCGTCAAAAATACTCCGCTGCGCGTCGTATTTTCAACTGTCTTCTCGGTGTTTCATCTGGTGATGAAACACTGCGTCTCATGTTTGATATATTACTTATAACACTATATAGAACTGTTGAGATTCCTCATCCAGGCAGGAATGAATGAACTGCAAAGTCAATATCTTGTTACACTTTGTCCCTTTCCTGCTTGGTTGTGTTCGTGAAAAAAAAATCTGTTGCGGAGCAGGGTAGTACCGTGTCATGTTCTTATTATTCTCTTCCTAGCGGGTAGATTACACTGTGGAGGATTCCAAACTTTTGAAACAGAGCAAATCTTAGCATTGCTCAGATTGCTGTTTGTCTGACGTTTAGAGATCATTTCCTGTTCTATTTTTTTTTTCTGACAGGAATTGACCTCTGATGAATTCCTGCTATGCTTTGTTACACGTTGTTTTCAGGATGTTAAATTTTCACGACAGTGTGATTAGTATATGTAGTCAAATGGTGACGAGCCGTAAAATCAGAGAATATCCCATTTCACGCGCGTTTTGTTGGTTTTCGGTTGATTAATCGCAAAATTAAATTCGTCCAAATTTGGTCAACAGTAGCTGGTTATGGTGAATTTTGCGTGTGCTTGTAGCCAATCAGAAACGGAGAAATATTTGAATGAATAATAATGTTATTTCGAGTATAAATATTGATTTATTTTTTAAAGATAAAGTGTAGTGTAGCTCTTTTTACGTAAAGTTGTAACGCTAGTATCAGATTGTCAAGTTTATGTAATGTTGTAAAGTCATTAATAAAATCATTTTTGCTGAAAAAAATCTTCATTTTCATTTACAAAATGTTCATTTCAAAATACCCATGCAGATAATAGTTTCACACAACACTGAACTACCTTCTTAGGGTTAACGTGTGTAGTGCGTAAGTCATAACTATCACTAATAAAAACCCGAATTCATTGCGTAGGGCTTCTTTTGGACGAAGTGAAAATTGACCACGTAAACTATTTTTTTGCCCAGCATGAGAAGTGACAAAGTCGGCTTAAACTCTCGTTATTTTTTTTTAGTATCGTGAAACGGCCCAATTGTAAATAGACTCGATATATTCTTAGGTCAATTTAATTTTTCTTGCGGTAAAATAATATTGATTGTTTTAACTGCGTACGTGCTATTTGAGAATCGCTTTCCATAGAACTTTGCGATCGTGTGAGAACTCAGCGTGTAATAAAATAATAATAATAATAATAATAATGATGATGATGACGATGATGATAATGAGGGTCTATAATAACAAGCGAAGAGATTTGGTCATCTGTGTAAAATTTCCATGTTTTTTCTAGCAGAATAAGCTTGTTTCCTTTCTTTTCATTGGCTTTTTTGCGCACGGGTATTTTAAAAGAGGTTTGAGTGTCTTCTATATCATCCAAATCAAGTGCACTAAATGGGTTTATTTTTTCTAATAAATAGAATTTACTCTGTTTACACTATAGCTGGATTTTTTACGTCTGAACAAATACTCGAGTGACACAAACGACGAAAAAACAAATGTATGTCAGCTGCCGCCTCCTTATTGGCAAACATAACTGTCAAATCTAACACGTCTTGTGCATTCATCCTAGCCTTAATGGTTCAGCCTTGCCTTTGGCTCAAAACGGTCACTACATTAAATAAGGTTAGTCTTGATATCTTTTATGAAGCTCGATGGATAATTTTGTATACATGTATGTAGGTTTCATTGCACGAAGCCCCCTGCACTCTTGCCGCCATGCGTCCTCCCAGAGCTGGCCTGTTGGCATTGACCGTTGGCTCTATTAAAACTTTCTACAAGGTGCAGTTGCTTTTTACGCTTACCAGTAGGTGAACGAGGGCCGAGGTTAATAGCTAAGGTTCAAATATTTTTGCTTCTCAGATCGATCCCTGTCAGCCAATACCTTTAGTCTCTTCAGGGGAATTTTCACGGCATCAAGAAAAAGGTCGAAGAGAATTGTTCTCAATGTAATGTCTATTCAAACAAGAAAAAATGATCTCTTGATTCAAACGATCCTTAAGGACTTCACATCAAGCTCGAGACAAAATCCTAAGGCACAATATAATCTAAAATTAAGACAGGGCTTCACTTTAATTTTGAGCCAACGTCAAACATTTTTTTTTTGGTGTTCGGCGTTAGGAAAATGCAACACATAATCATGGGATCCCTTTGGTACTTGGGTATCCTGTGGTACTCGATGGTGACCTTTTCATTGACCCTTTTCCGTCGTACGTCTGCATTTCTGCGTTATTTTTTCTTTTTTCAGCATATGGGCACGTGTATCACCTTAGCTCCTTCAAGTTCAACAAGATGATTGTGTCAAAATCACGGTTATTTGAATTCGGCAAATGAATGAACTTTGGAGCTTTTTTCGAAGTTAGGAAGACACAAATAAACATCAGATAACATTTGTGCGTTTGGGTCTGTTTATATATTTGAAGTTATACCTCTCACATGCACGAAAAACATTCTAGAATATAGTACGTTTGAAGAATTTTAGCCGCATATCAGTGATAACGTTTATTTTACATGTGAGGCTTTATCCACGCCTGCATCATAGAAGAACTGAAATCATGATCATGATCAGTCTTCGCATAATGGCAAAAGGTTTTGTCCAGTTCACTGATATCGCTGTAGAAATCTTGCAAAAAACCCCGATATGTTTCTTTCGCTCTTATGATCATTTTTTAATTCACTTTTCAGGTTGTATCACGTAAGAAGCCCGGATAACCTTCGAGGCTACCATGCTTTTGAAGTTTGCAAAAGTGACATGTTTATCTTTTTAACAAAATAGAACTTTTCACGATCTATATCGCATTTTTATCGACCAAACTTGATTGATACTTTGAAACAATTATTTTATTAAGATAGGTGGAAAGTCAGCATTATTTATTCTGGGCAAAAAGCCCGGCGATTGAAAAAACTCCTGGACATTTTTTCTCCTTCGAAAACTTCAAAAGTCCGTTGTACCTTTCCCGACTTCGCTGGTCTTCTAGCAGCGATTCTTAGACATTACAAAAACGCCATTTTAGGACATAACCAAAAGGGCTACAAACAAATAACCGCCGTTCACGTCTCCTTCAGGGTCGCTCGCGTGTTTCGACGTGTTGGTGGCGAAAAGTTACCTTGTCTTCCGCCAGCCGGAGTTTATTAAAAGGAACAACAATAGGCACTGACTTCCGAGTTCCAAAAACCCTCACTTTCAAAATGAGGCTAGGTGCACAACCTTACAGGTGAAAATGAGTTTTTAGGCTGAGCACCTGCCCTCGTTTTGAAACAGAGGCCCGGGGGAACTCGGAAAAGGCCTATTGAATCTTAGCGTCATGAACTTCCGTTCATAGTTACCACTGAGAACAAGCTGGCAAGTTTTAATTCCAGTTTACGGTCATGCATAATACTATTGCTACTAATAAGACCTTTTGAAAATTATCACAAAGACTTCCCAGTCTCAATGTGAGGACTGCAAATTTCCTATTGAAACTACATACGAATAATTTTACATGACTGTCCTGCCGTGAAAAGCTTTCCTAATGAACTTCAAACGTTCTGAAAACATAACAAAAGTGCTACGGAAATTCTTTAGGGCTGTAAACCCAAATCACCACCTTTTCCCTGTCAAATCATTATCATCTGCCTTGCTAGAAACAATTTGAAAGAAAAATTGCGATCGTAAACGGAAACCACACGAAATACAGAAACAAAAATGTGAACCTCCCTGTGCATTTCTGATATGTGTTGTGGCTTCTCGGGTTACAGTCAAACCAGGTCAAGCGTTCCCGTCGCTAACAAACTAATGAATTCATTAATGGCAAAATGATTTCGTTTGTTGATTCGATAATCCATTCATAAAATGAATAATCCAACGGTCAAATTGTACCTCGATTCAATAATCAAATGTTGATTTGGTTTATGAACAAAATCCCCACCTGTTCTTTATTCTTGTCTGTTGTATTCAATCGTATTTGCTTCCCTTTTCCTGCCGTTTGCGATTGCGTTTTTCATTGCCTTTAATCAAAATAACAGCTAGAATAGACAGACCGCAAACGCAAAGAAACTGACAAAGGCCGAGGATCTAAATCCACCAATCATCGCACATACACTGACCTCAGTTTGACCGTCGTGTTTTCTAAGAGGTCAGGCCTAGGTCTGTTGCACTGATTATTGGCAGCAAACTGGCGTACATGTAACAGTTTGTTTGGGTTTGAACTTCAGAAATCGCCAGCACTCGACTCTCAGAAAAAAAAGAGGAAAAAACAAAATTCTGAGGTCAACTTGTGGAAAGTGGAATTTTTCAAAAAACAGTAATCGAATCAACATTCGATTATAGAATCGAGGCTAAATATGACTATTGGATTGTTCATTTTATGAATGGATTATTGAATCAACAAACGAAATCATTTTTCCGTGAATGAATTCATTAGTTCGTTAGCGACGGGAACGCTTGACCTGGTTTGACTGTAATATTTTCAAATGTGTTTTTGTTTATTTATTTATTTATTTTTTACATGGCTTGCTTGTGTTACTATAGTGTATACCTTTGTTGTGTTTTGCTTTAGTTTAATAAATTTATCGATAATATATAAATAAAGTTCTCAGTGAGAACGACATTCAAATTGTATAGTACATTTAATCGCTGTTTTCGTGAAAGTAGCCTCACGAATTGCAAAAACAAATACAATAAAAAACAGCACAGCAGAGAGTCAGAACCGAAAGTATGCGTAGCAAAGAGCATCTCGAGAAAAAATATCAAAAGAACGGCTGAAATTCGGATAATAGCCCACTTTCGATATATTAAAATTCCAACATGACTCCGAGGCTTTCTGCATGGTCATTTTTCTATATTTGGTTTGGTTTTCTTTGTGCTCAAGTCTCTTCTGAGAATTGCGAAACAATGGAGTCGTGAAAAATTTGAAATTTTGACCCTAAAGCCTCGGAGTCATGTTGAAATCTTAATATAACGAACGCGAACTTAGGCTATTGCCAAAACAGTTTTGACGTCATTATCACATTATATTCATTCCAATATTACAAAAAAAATGATATCACAATAAAGCACATGCATGAATCCTTTTTACTTTCCTTCTCCAATTTACTCATAAATTCATTTGATTTTTTTCTAAAGGTAGACGAGCAATAGTAAGAAAGCTCTGTTAAAGTGAAGTTGGAAGGAGATGGAAAACCGATCCACTATGTTTTCTTTATCCGAGTGCATCACTTGGTTTGCTTTATTCCTTACCGAGTCTGTTGCCATAGTAACCGTGAATCTCCTATCAATCATCATTTTTATAAAGAACAGTAACCTTCGCACCCGTGCCATGTACTTGGTTATTAACTTGACCGTTGCTGATAACTTTGTGGGAGGAATTTCCAGTATTTTTCTATTTGAAATACTGGGCTACGATTGCCAAATTGTAACTGTAGGCTCTAATACTGCTCCGGAAGGAAACATCACGTTGTTCGTCTTCCGGTGGTTCCCTCTCACCTCTCTAACAAGCATTGCAGTTATTTCATTAGATCGGATGCATGCCACGTTTCGTCCATTTAGGCATCGCAACATCAAAAAATGGGTCTACTGGGTAACTATTGGAGCCATCTGGGTTTTTGCTGCAGTTATGTCAACTGCCATGACGTTGGTATCTCTGCACTCTGGAAGACAAGAGCCACTTCCCTTGTACTTATGGCTTTCATACTGTTGTTTGTGCCTACTTGTTATCTGCGTTTCTTACACCTCCATTGCTGTTAGATATTGGTGTGCAGTCCGTCCTCAACACCATGGTGCGACCAGTAGGCAAAGAAAACTAACTGTGACATTACTCATTATGACTATTGTATCTTTGCTGTTTTGGCTACCGTACCTAATTTTTACGTTTGTTATTTTAACTGGTAGGCGCTCCCTTTCTTTCCAGCAAATGATGCGTGTGAGATTTATTTTATTGCTTATATTTTACACAAACTCATTTGTCAATCCCATCATTTACACAATCAGAATACCAGAATTCAGAAAAGCTCTCATAGCATTATTTACATGTCAGAAAAGACAAAATGCTGCTATTCCTCTTGCTGCCCGTTAATGCCTTGAGTAATTCGTTCTCTTTCGCCGTGTTCTCCCCCAGGACACGTTCTGCATTTGGTTATGTAATTTGCTTCCCCTAATTGCAATTTAGTGTCATATGTAGAGCGTGCACCTAGACATTTTCGTTTTGAGGTAACAAAACATAAAGGACGTCACTTTGACTGTCTCAAAAGTGCCCTTTGACCGTCTTAGAGAGGTGGCCTACTTAAAGGTAGTATAGTTTTAGTGAAAAGACTGGAAAATGACAGGAACCAACACAAGGTGTCCGTCTTAGAAAGGTGTCCGTTAAGACATAGTTGACTGTATAGTACGTACTATAACAAAGTAAATAACTGTTATCATTTCACCGGTTTTAGATGGTTTCTAATTAATCTTGCACTAGCCGGTGAACAGACGTTCTTTCCTTTTTCTTTCCTGGTCGACAATCGGGCGAGGGCAAGGGTCTATGAATAGGCTAATCTAGCTCATAATTTGCTACCAATGTGGCCCGGGTTCAAATCCCGCCGTCGATGCCATATGTGGGTTGTGTTTGTTGTTGGTTCTCTACTCCGATTTTCCCTTCTCTTTAAAAATCAACACCTCCAAATACCAATTCTCATGAATTCTACCAGGAATAGGGTAGGCGAAGAACCACTTAGTGGTTGTGATACCGCTAAATCGTTATTTATTTCTTTAGTTATTCTTAGATGTTAGAACTTTAAAAGCTTTTAGAGATAAAATACTTGATATATGTAAGAACTTGCAAGGGTTACAGGGTAATAAGAATCCTGTCCCAGTCAGTAACAAATTAGTTACTTATATAAACAAATCAGCAATTAAATGCCTCACCTTACTTCATTTACTTTAGGGGCAATTTCCAAGTGAGGACTCTGACAACAGCACTTTTTTTTTGGCCGGAGCTTTGCAAGAAAAGGCCTAATTAGACGAATGCACTACTACTAACAATAGTTATGACTTTGAACTTTGCAAAATTGGACATTACACTACGATATTTTCATTTGGGTGTTTAAAGAAACAAAACAGATATACTGATTTTGTTTTACCCTGTTTCAACACTCTTTTCTTTAGAAATCAACATTTTAGATTTTTTTTGGACCGCAATTTAAGTCAAAAATAAATAAGGAAGAGAGAAATATCGCAAGAGGATGAGGAGATTTTATTTTAACTGCGGTAGGACTAGAAGAAGTCGGTAAGGCGCTTGACTGCAAAGCGGGAGGTCCTGGATTTGTGTCCCTAAAGGCCGGACCAATACTCAAAGTTCTAGCCATTTGCAAGGCGGAACCTTCAGTTCGGTTGAGTAATTTCTGACTTGTTTTAAGACCCTGCGTGGTTACGATGACAACGTCAAATGGACCCCGTGCCCAGTACACTGTCCTGACGATCAGTTTTGTCGGCTAATTACATCGACACTCAAATATAGTGCGTTAAAAGGACTTACCTTTCATTGAAGAATGTGAGATGGAATACCGCTACTATGGGAAGTATGTAGAAAGGGAATACCATAAAATCTACCTTAATTGTTGGTAAAATACCTTTATTCGTAAAGGTGAGGATATTGCTTTTCTATTTTATAAATTTCATCATCCATTCATTCAAACTATTTTGTCGTTTTTGATTGACGGCTCGATGCATCATGCATCGTTTATCACATTAATTAAACGTCTCTTGTGGTTCTGGCCATTTACATCATAATTGTTGTTATGCGGGAGATGCATTAGCGGCCACCACGGCAGCCACAATGCTCTTATTCCTGATTGGCCCGGCTGAGATTATTCTTTAAACGTCCACACGCCCGCGGAATCCTGATATTTTTGAAATCGCATTATACTTCACTCGATCAAGCTAGGTCAGTCTAGGATGAATGAAAGGATTCACTGGTTTCGTGTGGACGGAAGGCCAATCCGTCTAAAAAAAAAGAAAATAAAGCGATAACAAGGACAGATAATTGTGACTAATTACGACATTATCAATTAGATATTTCTTTTAATTATTTATGCATCCCCAATTTATTTATGTATATTCCAAATGTGAGATTTTGACAACAAAAGCATCTTATTTACTGATCAATTGTAGATTAGAGATTTATTCATATTTTTTTCAACTTATGGTTGGCGCATTTGCAAAACAAAACGGGACTGGCACAAGGACTCTCCTATGAGTTCTTTTGAGATTCGCGGTTTTGGATGACAATGAAGAGACATAAATTTTTTATTACAGTGAATAGAAAAAAAGAAAAACTGATAAAATAGGGGAAGAATATAAACTATCTAACAGAGACTCGATTAAATTTTAAGATTGTTGCTGGAACTATCAAAAGATGATTCAATCTCAGTACCGGTTGATGAAAAAAAATCGCAATTAAAGCGAAAAAGTAATATGACAAGTTTCGTTTACTGTTTATCTACCTTCGAAGCGTTGGTTCTATTTCAGTTTCTTCCAGCAGCGAGTCTTGCATCTAGTTTTCAACTTGCATGCGATAATGGAACTTCATTATCCTTGGTTTACTGGGAGCAAAAGCCTTATGTCTACAAAGATGAAGGAGAATTCCTCATCAACGGAGCTTTGCCTGAAATCCTCAGGAAAATTTTCAACGTTTGTTGTAAACGTGAAGCTAACATAACAGGAAAACGTATTGAGTACCCCAGCTCATTAAAACTTACGATTCAAAATCATTCTCACCAGGCCATTATTCCATTAGGGCGAAGAGTAAGCCGCGGTGAATCGATATACTTGCGCCCATTTCTTGGGTTAATAGAGTCTCCAGGGATGGCAGTGATTGCACAAAAGACCATTCCAGGACAGGAGTTGCTGGCTGCTATTTTTGACGCTTGGCCAATCTTAATTTTCATTGTGATGGCAGTATCTCTCAGTGCAATAGTCATGTGGATTCTGGTAAGTGCAAGTGCTCTTTTGCGTTGTTAAAACAGCTTTACCTTTCACTTACTTTGTGTCTCTCTGTGGTTTTGTGCTTTCAAAAAGAAAAGATTCATATATCAACCCCCAAAACTTAATAAAATGAACAAATAGATACAGATAAAAATAAAATAAATTGAATAAAGTTTTAGAAAGAAAATATGGTACCAGTACTGCTATTCTACAAAGCGTTGATATAAAAAAACAAAGGAAAAGGAAGAAAGAGAATAATCCATGAGCCATCAACATCCCTGCAAAATAGAAGCCATGGAACTCTTGGCGAAAGCCTCACCTTTCCAAACCAGAGAATTGATCGTTCTCTTTATCATGTATGGAGGATTAAGCTAGTACAGACAAGGAAATTGAATGGAATCAATTATACGGGCACGTCGCCACCTCCTTATTTATGTGGCTTCGATTAAAGAGAAGGTCTGATTGGAGTGAGGTATAAACTTTGGCGACAACTTTTGACAGATTCTTCTTGTTCGGTTAAAAGACGTGACATGTAAATTCTAACCTAAACAGCAGCTTAATTTGCCATTTTTCAATGAAGACACAATGTTAAAAAAATTGCATTTTTAAGTTCAATACCGTCAACTGAAGCATACGGTTAACTTGTTATTCGTTTTTAGCAACTCACAAGCTTTTGAGATAAGTTTTTCATACATGATTGCTAAATTTCACCTCTTTTTTTTCTTCAGGATTATCGTTCAAACCCTGAAGAATTCCCGGAATTCTTTCCCAGCGGAGTATTTGAAACATTTTGGTGGGCTGCTGTTACTATGACAACCGTGGGGTAAGTGCCTTGAACCAGCTCGTGAATAGCATTCTTTTACAGACAGGCCATCCCCCCTTTTTTTTCGCTTTGCGTTGGATGCGTTTTCCGATATTGGGTCGGTCGGTAGGATTGAAAAAAAAATACTAAAAAAAAATCAAGAGAAGTCTCAGAATAAGAGGCCCTGTTACCCCAGGACGACGATAAAAGTTAACATTCCCTTATTTGGATTAACAAAATACACAATATACTGTAAAAAAAAAATGTTCCTGTTTTTGTTCCTGTTTTTCTGTACTCTGTTACTACGCTCATTTTTCAGATTAAAGTGAAAAATAGTTTAACTACGTCGTTACTTTTGGTTGTTGTTGTTGTTTTTTGAAAATGCTAAATATTTGGGTCGGTCGGACGACGCTAAACGGAGAAAAAAAAGGGGATGGCCATAGTATTATGTAAAATACATAAACCGAATCTGTTTTGCATAATAGTCAGGATAGGGTAATTATACCGGAGTTTCCGCGCACGCGAAGCGCGTTCGGCGGAGCCCCATTGCTAAGAGAAATAATTATGGCAAGGTATAATGTCTAATTTATGAGACTGAGGTGAGATGAACCAACAGTGACACCCAAAGCATTGTTCTACTTGATCTACTCGCCAGAGAACCCGTCAGTTCCATAGCGTTTGAATACGCTGCAGTTAATTTTTTATTTTAGGTAATTTTTGTTTTTCCTTTGTTTCAAATTCATTAAGATACATTACTACCGTATTTATTCGATTAACCGCCCTGGGCGCTTATTAAATTTTTGTACCTTGAGAGTGGGCGCTTATTCGAGGTGGGCGCTTATTCGAGACTGGGCGCTTATTAAATTTTCACCATTTTCAGCAAGTCTAGTATGTTGATTTCGCAAGAAAACAATAAATGCTAATAACAAAACGCGAAGAAGTAACAAAGCAAGGTTTCTGTAAAATACTCTGAAGAAAACTCCGTCCTCAGGGAAGTCTCTTATTAGAATTTATTCACTCAAGTAGGTGGGGTCGGGGTGAGCGCTTATTTGAGTTTGATTGGGATGGGGAGGGGGTGGGCGCTTATTCGAGGCTGGGCGCTTATTAACTTTTTCTGCCTTTAGGACGGGCGCTTATTCGAGGTGGGCGCTAATTCGAGGTTGGGCGCTTATTCGAATAAATACGGTATACCCAAAAACAAAGGAAAAATAAAAATTAACTGAGATAAAAAGTTAACTACAACCAATACATTAAGGCTTGTTCGTGTTATCCTGAGCATAAGTAAGACTTCTGCTTCTCTTTTTAATTGTAATTATTTTGTTTTGGTTTTGTTCTTTTCTTTTTTGTTTTCTTTTTTTTTTCTTACACTGGCTTTTTCGTTTAGCTATGGTGACAAGGTGCCGCGCAGTGTAGCCGGACGTCTTTTTGGAGTTGTTTGGATTAATGTTGGTCTTGTTATACTCGCTATCTTTATGGGTATGATCACCGCCTCCCTTTCCAGTAACAGTCTCGAACAAATCAGCAACCTTTATGGAATGCCTGTAAGTATTAAAAACCAACATACCTTTATCAAAACTGTCAAAGTAAGATATTTACATTTGTAACTTTCTCATTCTTGTTCGGTTATCAGTCGTTATTAGCGTTTCAAGTATTCTCCGTTCTGAATAAAGTTTCGCTGAAAAAAAAATGCATGAAAACACATGAAGAATACCTTGATCAGCTGCAAAAGAAGACGAGCATGTCGGCTCCTCCGGGTCTCAAAGCCATTGACCGAAATGTTGGTCCGGCAAAAAGCCTATAAACCACGAGAAAATGAAATTACAGGCTATGGACCATTCCAATCAATCCAGTTATCAGTATAGCTTCTGTTCTAGTTCCGAAAACCGGCTGGCGGCCTCAGACAACTTCACAGACAAGTTTTGCGCGAGTCTGTACGGTGACTTAGGGAATTTTAGTTTATAACTGCACTAAAGATATTATAAAGCTCCAAATTTGACGGCCGGCTTTAGCAAAAATTTCTTTTCGTTCACTTTATTTTATTCGAGATTTTTTTAGTTGTCTAGCAGAATAAAATCGTAGAATTCTGCTGAGTTTTTCAAGCCTGTTCATGTTCAAAATGTTTTTGTTTTTCTAATTCATTCACTCTGTTCTTTTTAGCAAGAGTAGCTATTTTAAGAACAGTACTAAACGGGACATGAGCTTTTGAAACTGAGACATTTGAGATACATACTCGTGATTTCTATACTTACACCTCTTTTTATCGATTCATACCAGGTGGCAGTTATGAACGGATCAGCTGAACAACAGTTGGCTATTTTACAAAACGCCGAGGTTCATGGTAAGTATCTCAAAGCTGTATACATTTCAAAACGAATAAGTTGGCAGTTTGAACATCCAGAATAATGAAGAATAATGAATAAACGTAAGGCTTAATTCACCTTTGACATATATACTTTAAGCTTTGTCTTTGACTTGGCATACTTTTTGAAGCTGTTCAAAACACTCACTTATTTAAAATCTGACCGAAAAAATCTGAACCCGCTGTTCGTTTTTTATAAGAATCACATCTCATAATCACCTATAATTTTGATATAAGTAATAATAATGAAAAAATATGATTTGCAGCAAAAATAACTTACGATGAATTGTACAAGAGTGTGAAAGATGAAGAGACTAGGGTGGCATTGGTGGATCTTTACAGTACAACTCAACACAGTGTTAAATACTATGAGAAATACGGACTTTATGTGGCCACAGTACTTGATGAGCCCGTAATCTATGGAGCGGTGTTGCCCATGGGCTCTGAGACTGCAAGAAATTGTTTCCGTAGCTATACTGAAAATCATCAGTTGGAGATACACGAGATAATAGAGAAGTTCATTAAGACAGAAAAGGTTAGAGAATATGCTATCATACGTTTTTATTTAGAATAAGCAATCTTATCAAAGGCAGGGACCCTGGGTAAGAGATCAGTCCACTAATTTATGGTCTACCCATTAAATGTTTTCCACATATTTCCTTTGTACGTACATCGGTGAACAAACTGCTTAAAGCTCTCTCCCACATATAAGCAAATTGATAATATATGAACTTATAGGCGCAGTAAATAGGAACTTGCTGGTCTTTAGGTAGTCAGAGGAAGACAACTGGTGATGGCGTTAGTGATTAAGCTGTGGAGAACAGAGATCCTCTTTGGACACAAGGGGTTGCAATTGGTCGTTGCAGAATTAATAACGGTTATACGCCATGGAGACAAAGTCGAGTAGCTGTTTATGTAAATTGCGTGATTATGGTCAGGACATGGATGATGTGCGACCTTATTCTCCCTACGAAGACAATTGATGACAAAGGCGATTGGTTGGGATTTGTACAAAAATGGCCCCTCTGCAGTCAGCAATGTGGACATTTCAATTGTATTTGTTTAGTTGCATGTAGGTTATTAATGTTCTTGACGTGATTTAAAGTTTTGCCTCTTTTCTAAATCAGGCTTACAAGCACATATTACTAATTAGAAACAATTTGAAAAAAAGAGTTTTCTTATAGAATAACACCAATGATATTCACTGAAAAAACAAGTCAAAAAAAGAATTATTCCATCTGTTTCTTTCCCATTTTCAGCAACCAAGTGAATCTTCAAGTCTTGGTGTTGAGTATTTTCAAGAAAATCTGTTTGGTTACACTGTGTACAGTCTGCTTGGTTTCTTTATTGTGATTTTGATCGTCGGCCTTATCTGGGAGTATTCTCTTCAGGCTCAAAAGGTGCACAAATTAAAAAAGGGCTCAGGTAATCAATCTACATTACATTAGATAAGCCTGGTGATAAACTTAAATGGTTTCATTCCACTAATCTCTGGAACATCCGGTGATCCTGGCATTTTGCTAAAATTAATTAATTCCAGGTTCCAATTGCGTTTCATTTCATTTACTTCAGTAGGTTGACCAATTCTTGTCAGGATCACTGCAACAGCGCGAGGCACCATAATGAATGATTTTCCAGTAAGACCTTTGTTATGCACACAGGATTCTGGGATCGCCGGTGGGCGGGGAGGTGCAAACGTTGCGAGTCGCCATTCCGTATGTCTGCTCAGCTATAGATCACCGCCGATGACGTCAAAATGTGTTAACCACAATGTTGCCTCTTGAGCAGAATTTTAATTAAATTTGTTTTTTAGACTGTGGTAAATTTCGGCGATAGTTGATTACTCTGGTTACTAGTTATGAAGTGTTAAGTGACATGATAGTTTTTCGCACTTGTTTGTTGTTTGTTATTCTTGTTGTCCTACAACAGCATTTTTCTCTGTTCGTGCTCCCAATCAGCTCATCTTTCTCCTTCTCTTTCATCTCTTTCATCATCATCATCGTCGTCACCGCCATCCTCATCGTCATCATCATCTTCTTCTTCTCCTTCTTCTTCTTTTTGATTGTTATTTTAATGTTTTTGAATCATATATCCCAACCAAAACTCCAAAAGGCATTTCCAAGGCTTTCCTCCCCAGCATCACGATGGTTGTATGAATTTGTTTGTAACATCAAGGATTAATGTTTATCTGAGACATTTTTTACTAAATTAAATTGTCTGTTTTGTTGCAGAAAAATGTTCTCCCAAGCCTGAGCCATCGCTTCCCCTCAAAGATGATGAAAATCAAGGGAACACAAACCTTCCACAGCGTATATCTTCGGATGGAAGTGTGCAAACGGAGCGTCTATTGGCAGCTCAAAGCGCAGAGATCTTGGCCATGGAGGATGAGCTTAAAGCTTTCCGTAAAAATTGGGATAAAGGCTTAAGAGATTTACAGGAGCGCCACAAGAAGGAACAGGAACAACTTTTTCAATTGGATAACTTTGGTTACGACATGTAATGTCTTTGTTAGAATAAGGAAAGCGAAATTTTTCTTTTAATTTTTTCCAAATTTTTTAAAAAATACCTAACTTCTAAATTAACTAATACTGCGATTCTGTCTTTATCCCGTCTGTCACACGTGCACTTGACTCTCAAAAATTTTCGAGTGTTTTCCTAGCATCCTGCTGCAGTTTGTTGAAAAGACGAGTAAACTAGTAGGCCAGGAGTAGACAAAATCGATAGTTCTTATATATTATCCCTCCAATCACGGAACCAAGTATGAATTTTAATATATCAAAATTGGTCATTAGGAAACTTAGCTTATTGCTCAAACAGTGTAAAAATTTCGCGCAGAAATTTGAAATTGAAAAAGGATCGAGAGGAAATACTATATTCATATTTTTAAGTCACACAGGAGACCTATTTGAAATGAATGATTTTCCAGTAATCAGAAACTCGTGTTCTGCGCACAGGATTCGAGAATACATAAGCTTACCTTCGATCGTTGTCATAAACCGGCACAGCATTGTGATCGCCGCCGAGCCGAGCGTAATTACATTCGTTGTAAATATCAGCACATGTAACTACAACTGAAAAGGTTTAAATGAGCCTTCATTCACCACTCATTTATACCTAAGTCAGTACTATACATTTCGAGACCATTCAGTAAATTTCACAGTCGACCTTTCGCAAGAAGGACGTGTGTGTTTCTTGATCCCACAGAAACTTAGAATCAACGCACCAACATTAGTCACCTCCGCTTCTCATAAAATCACGGCAAAATGCGACATTCTATGTCCAAAGACACTGCTTTTAACGGAGAAACAGCTCCACGCCATACATACTAATCTTTTACTTGACCTGTATCCGCCCAGTAACGGAATACGCATGCCCGGTGTTTCACAACGCGCTTCCCGCATATTTCTCCGCAGGGCTAGAACAGCTACAGAAGCCCGCCATGCGAATTATTTTTCCGTTCGCGCCAGATAGCGACGCATTACATCAAGCCAACTTGGAGACGCTCTAGCGACGCAGGCAGTCTATCACAACTAAGCTTTTTGATTCTATCACTTCTAACTCAGACCATAAACTGCATGAGCTCTTGCCACCTCGTAACAATTGTGAATCCAATTTAAGACAAAAGAGGAATTTTAATGCCCCTCTGGCTAAGACGAAGAGACTTAAGAACACAATTATAATTGTAATTAAATTTTTAGCTACATATGTACATTTTTCTTATATTTTTTTCATATTTTTATTAGATTTTATTATTGTAACGATTAATCTAATTCAGCTTTTGGCTGCGATTTTAATCAGAATAAACTATCTATCTATCTACATTTCTTTGTGACGATTTGCAATGTTTTCCCCCTGGCCATCCCATAATCCTGTGCGCATAACTAAGTCTCCGACTGCTGGAAAATCATTCATTAGGAGCACAATTCCGGGGGAGCTCAACGAAGCTATCTACGGGGATACTCCTCCCCGAGGTCCGACCCCTTACCCTTTAAATATCATTTTTGACAGAAAAGGTAACCCTTTCATATACCTCCTATCGACAAATGGTACCTCTTTCGTATACTTACATGTAGAAAGAACGCTGCATTCCTTTTAACTACCTGTAACCTGAAAGCACCGTCTTCTTAAATGAATAAATCATTATCTTAACCTTTTCACAGCCCAAGATGCGTCTGTTGACATGACCCGCTTTTGAGTCCTCTACAGACCGAAATGACAGATTTTCCTTCTTTCATATACTTAAACCATTGAATTCCCTAACCATTCATATACCTGAAGACGGAAAAAGGTACCAAATTCTGGTGGGGCCTTCCCGTTTTATTATGCCGTTTTAAAGGAAGTACTCCCCCTAAACCCCTCCCCTTGGCACATTATTACCCCGAATTATATAATATACGGCAAAAAATAGTCACAATTTATTGTGTCAATAACAAGACTTAGGTGATAGTGAATTTTACAGTTGGACGATTGACAAGTTACTTAACAAGAAGGCTTTCGACACGGTCGACCATTCCATCCTTTTACCTAAATTGTATAGACAGTTATGGTGTTAGAAATTCTTCTTGCGACTTGTTTAAATCCCATCTGAATCTTCGGAAACAAAAATGCATTGTGAACGGTTCCCTCTCTAGCGATCAATATCTAACTTGTGGTATTCCACAAGGTACCACCCTCGGTCCTCTTCTCTTTATACTCTACATAAACGATCTGCCGAATTGTCTCACAAATGTTCAATACAGGATGTATGCAGATGATACACACTTGACTTTTTCCAGTAATAATGTGACACATCTAGAACGAGCTTTAATGACGACCAGGCCAAAGTTAATGAGTGGCTTATTGCTAATAATCTAACCCTTAATACCGGTAAGTCTAAAACAGAATTTATGTTAATCGGGTCTAGGCAATGGTTGCAGACTTTCAATGTACCTCTTTCCCTCTTTATCGATGATGCCCCTAAAAATCAAGTTGAGTCTACTAAATCTCTTGGTATTTATGTGGATGAGAATTTCTCGTGGAATGTACATATCGATAATAGAGCTAAAGAAATTGCTTCTGGCATTGGTATCTTGAAGAGAAGTCTGGCCTTTTGTTACATTTGAAGTGCTCTCATCTATATATAGCGCCTTAGTGCAACCATATTTTGATTACTGTACCGTTGTTTGGGGGATTTACAACAAATTCCTTGCAACTAAACTGCAAAAACGTCAAAATCGCGCAGCCCGTATCTTGACTTTCTCTCCTTATGATGCCAGTGTTGACAATCTTTTTACATCCTTTGCCTGGAAAAAGCTAGAGGCTCATTGTAAAATTCAAACTGCGTCTATGGTTTATAAGTCTCTAAATGGCCTTGCCCTGCAATATTTGAATTCGTTGTTTCCTATCGTAATGAAGTCTCTAGTTTCTCTGTCAGGGATTCCGAGGGCAAGCTATAGCTATTGCACTGCCCCTTAATAATTATGTTAAAAACAGTTTCAGAGGTTCAGTGCTGTGGAATAGTCTACCTATTGAGCTGCGGCAAGAACAAACTCTTTCCGCTTTTAAACACGGGTGCAGTGATCTCTTTTGAAAATGTCGAAAATCACGGCCATGATCATGTAAAGTAGGCACATTTTTTTTTGGTTAAGAATCTTATCACAGTTAATTAGTTAAAGTTTCAATTAGTTAAATAGGTTACAATTTATAGTAGTTCACTTAGTCTGATGATTTTTTAACCGTGGATAAATAAAATTATTGTTGTTGTTGTGGTTGACTTTCTTCTTGATGTTTTTTAGACCATAGCCTGCTAATACAGTCTTCTCTCCTCCCCGCTGATCGCCGTTAGTAATAGTCTTGGAAAAGAATTCTTACTGATAAGTCTGCATCACTGAAACAGTTTCCCCCACCACCACCACCATTACCACACCCCTTTGAGAAGCTAACAGTCCATTAAGGTGTTTCGGTACAGATTTTGGGAGACCATACCGATGTTTTTTGATCACCTTAAAAGTGTTTTTATCCTCAGGATCGCTCCAAACTTTTCACCAGTGATTGACTATGAATTGAAGTTTTTCAAAATGTAGTTTTTAGTAAAAGCGATATCACTATGACAATAAAACAAAAAACTTTGAAATCGATAAAATCCGAATATTGTGCGATCTAGACCTGCTACTGAAAATCCGATTCCAGGAACTTATAGTGTAGTGTTTAGCGAATAAAACCCGACCCGCGACTTTATTGAACGACGTCAAAAACATTCAGTTCCTGGAAAAGCGTGTCTCAATGGAGTTGATAACAATGACGCTTTTTTGAACGTTGGAAATTAGCATACGAAAGACGTAATGGGGTGTTACTAAACAGAGTAACGAGTAACGGAGTAACGAGAAAACGAGAAACGGGATAAAAATTCGAGAAGTTTGAAATATGAATAAATAAATCTTAAGAGCCATTATCTGAGAAAATCGAGAATCGCACGACACTCGTCAAAAAATCGAATTTTTTTTTATTTTGCCAAAACATCCCTTTTAGTGACCTAATTTGAGGAAAAATAGTTTTGGGTTCAAACGATTTATTTTAAAGGAGAAATTAGGAAAAGTTTGAAAAATCGATTTTATGCTCGTTTTTCGCACAAAACACGGCAGGATGCAATGGCAACTTCGAGAGAAGGATGAACGCGTAAGAAACATTCCCTGACATTGAAACTTCACCGAATTATTATTTTGTTCTTACTCTTGAAAATCCTAAAAGAAAATTTGATAAACATTGCTTTACATTTTTATAATCGACAAGTGTAAAGAGGTCATATTTGTGACGTTAGACGTGCTAGAAAATGAAGGCCAACTTTGACTATTAAAAAAGGCTTCTGGTATATGCCACTTGATCATAAAATCAATACAAAATGGAATCTTGGCTTTTGTACTAACTTACTGGAAAGTTTTAGCTCTGGAAATCAAATACCATCCTGACACCAAAGCAAGCGGTGAGAGCAATTGAATTGGGAAATTTATGCAAATTAGACGGCTTGCGGACGGTTGTCAAACTAAAAGAAAGGTTTTACATGAAAGGATTACTCACCATTGCTTGTAACACGTTTTTACGGCAAGGAAAGTTATTTCCAACTTCTGTTGCGTCGTTTTGAGTCACAAAATATATAATTTTTAGCCAAAAGACAAACGTACGTCTGCTCAGCAACTGCGTCCGAATCCGGCCGTGATTCGAAATAAAGTCACAACACGTCGAAGCAAGAGTTACAAGAGTTTTTACTTCAGTCAGGAGGCAAAAGGCATAAAAATTCATCGCAAACTAATGACGTCGATTTTCAAAACCTTTCATCACTTCAATCGTTCGTCGGCTGATAATAAACATCGCACAAGATCGTATGACCTTTGGCGTGTGACCGGAAATTGGTTACACGCTTTAGTCACGTCAGCATGCTGTCACGAAATTTTCGTAGCTGTTGTCAGCAATTTTAATACAGTTTTCACATTTTCTGACAAGAAATCCTCTCATCGCAGTAGAAAC